CCAGGTGGAGTAGGGTTAGGGCATGGACACTGCAGGCAGAGGGGACCGCAAGAGCAGGGATCCTGAAGCCCAAACCTGCATGAGGTGTAGCTGGAACCTGACCTTCACGGGTATGGTCAAGGTATGCCCTTCTAAAGGGTAGGAAATAGGAGTCACGATTAGTTCATTTTCTTTACTTCTTATTGCTTTCCTCATTTTATTGCTTTCTTCATCCTTACTTCCAGAGGAGTTTGATGTCCTCAGTTCTTGAGAACTGGGGGGCTTCTTTGGTACACCTTGGTTATTGTCTGTTTTCTCTACTGCTCATTTAGCTATCAGCCACTCATCTATTTTCCCAGAGAAAATTTAAAAAGTTCTTTTCACTATTATGTTAACGAGGTAAGAGTGAGTTTAGGTGCAAATATTCAAACTGCTATCTAGACTCAAAAGTCTTGCTTAGGACATTTAATAAAATTCAGGACAGCAGAAACTGGGAATCCTATACGTATCAAGCCAAGCTTTTAGTTTCAAGTGATCCCAGGTTGATAAGCACCTTTGGGTTTCTGGCAGACGGTAGAGGAGGAACCCACTTTGCACACAGGGCCCAGTTCCTATAGGTGAAGTTCCAAGGGATGTGCATTTGGAGTCACAGGTCACCAAGCACTCTAGGAAATGGAACACAAGGAGACGGAGCTAGCAGGAGCAACAAAAGGGTGGTAAATATGAAGCCCCTAGACTGTAGGATTATCAGACACAGACTACTACATAAATATGTTTAATGAATTGAAAGAAAAGGAGACAGAAAAAATGAGAATGTAGCCGAGAAAATATAAAAACGAAAAAAAAATTTGAAAACAGATCAAATAGAACTAGAAAGGAAACAGTCATTAAAATAAACCTGAGGGGGCCCCTGGGTGGCTCAGTGGGTTAAAGGCTCTGCCTTCAGCTCAGGTCATGATCCCAGGGTCCTGGGATCGAGCCCCACATCAGGCTCTCTGCTCAGCAGGGAGCCTGCTTCCTCCTCTCTCTCTGCCTGCCTCTCTGCCTGCTTGTGATCTTTGTCTGTCAAATAAATAAATAAAATGTTAAAAAAAAAAACCTGAGGACTGGATTAACAGGACATTAAGCACAGTTGACGAGGGAATTGGTTCACGTAACAGTAGATCTTAGAAAATTATCCAGAACACAACACAGTTGAGACAAAGAACCCCAGAAGGAGAGGTAACAGAAAATGGCAATATTTGGAGAGACACTATTTGGAGAACCACTCAGAATTTCCCAGGGTGAACAGGATGCCACATGATTCAGAAACTCTAGTGAAGCTCAGTAGGTTATGAAAGAAAAAGAGGATGAAGAAATAGGCAGACTCAGTGTCAAGTTCGGTACTGCAGAACACTGCAAAGAGATTTCAAAAGCAACCAGAGAGAAGACAGACTACTTAATGAGAAAACAATGGTTCTATAGACACATGACTTCTCGCCAGCAATAATGGAAGCCAGAAGACAGCGAAATACTATTTTTAACGTGCTGTGAGAAAATAGCTGTCCATCTAGAATCTATACCCAGTGAAATACTCTTTGAAGAATGAGGGTAAAATAAAGACTTTCCAGTCACACACTGACTAAGCTGGTCCTAACAGACTATCCATGAAGGAAGTTCTAAGGATGAACTTCAGACAAAAGGTAATATCAATAGTAAAAGAGGTTGTAATGGAAACTAGGAAGACTTTAAAACTGAATGAGAACACATCAAAACCTGTGACAGTTGAAAGACCATTTGTAACACTAAAGGCTTACATTAGAAAAGAAGAAATGCAATCAGTTAAGCAAGTAATTTAAGCTACAAAAAGAATAGGATAAGCCCAAAGAGAAAATACAAGGAGATGAACAGATATTAATGAAACACAAAGCAAGCAGAAAATACAGAGGCTCAGGAAAGCTGGCTTTTTGAAAAGAGTAATAAAATGGGAAAATGTCAGGTAAGCTCAGTGAAGGGAAACTAGAGTGATGATACAAACAGCATTAGCAGTAGAAAACAAAAGTTATGTGCACGGAGATTAAGATGAGTAGAGGAGGGCATGGGAATGTCTTTATGGCAATAAGTATGAACATTTAGACAATAAATGTCTAGAAAAATATCATTTATCAAAACTGACCTAAGAATTAGTCTAAATAATCCTGTAATAGTTAAAGAAATGAAGTCATTAAAAATCTTGTTTCAAGCAAAGCTCCAAGCCCAGATGCATCTGCTGTCAAGTTCTACCTGACATTCAACAGTAGCCACCTGTTCCAGAGTACAGATGGGCAACACTCTCCAGCCGTATCAAACCTACCAGATAACCATATGTGGAAGGAAACCCACTTATCAGTCTCTCACTTATGAATACAGTTGGCAAAAATCCTAAACAGGGTATTAGCCAACTAAATCTAGCGGGTATAAAAACCTGACCAGGTTGGAATTATCCTAGGTTAGCAAGGGTGTTTTAATACTTAAGAATTTATAATCTAACTTATCATTTTAACTAATTGTAAGGGGCAAATACTATCCTCTCAGTGGGTGGACATGCAGTTTTGGTTAAAATGCCTCAACAGATTATAAAAAAAATCTCAAAATAATAGTAGGTGGGAATTTTCATAATCCCGTAAAGGGTTTCTATACTAACCTATAGCAAATATCATAGTTAATGTTGAAATAAGGAGAGCCTTCCCTTTGAGATCAAGAGACAATAACAATGTCCATATGATTATTATAAGTCAACTTTACAGTAGATTTGCTAGCCAGGTAAGTAAGATAAAAAAACAAAAATAAAGGTACTGAAAAGAAGAAACCAAATTGCTGTGAATATTCATAGGTGATAGGATTTTATCCAAAAGTATATTGAGAAACACCCTCATATCATCTTTTACAAAAATAAGGCATTTTTTAAATTAAAAAAATAGTAAAAATGAAATGAATCAGACATGCATCTGGAGGCAGATCCTCCATCTGAGCACACTAAGCAGGGAGAGAGAGACATATGACTCAACTGGTTGGTTTCCTCGCTCTCAGGGATCACTGTCTTTTGCTGCCAAATTTCCTAGTGTCTTGAAAACTGTTGTTTTATACATTTTGGTCTCGTGTCTAAAAACTGTGATTTCATGTAAAAACCGTGTTTGTTTTCGGCTGTTTCAAATAGGAGGGTAAATCTCATCTTTGTTATTCCCTCTTGCTAGAAGCAAAAGTTTGGTTAATAAAATGGCTTATCAATTCTTAGTCCTCTTTTGTTAATAAGTCCTCTTTTGTTAAAAACACACTTTGTGGGGCACCTGGGTGGCTCAGTGGGTTAAAGCTGCTGCCTTCGGCTCGGGTCATGATCCCAGGGTTCTGGGATCGAGCCCCGCATCGGGCTCTCTGCTCAGCAGGGAGCCTGCTTCCTCCTCTCTCTCTGCCTGCCTCTCTGCCTACTTGTAATCTCTGTCTGTCAAATAAATAAATAAATAAAATCTTTAAAAAAAAAAACACACACTTTGTTCTGGTGCAAGGTCTTTGCTGTAAAAGCATGTGTAGTTTTTAAAAAAATTTTGTTTTTAAAGAAACCGGTAATTTAAAGGCCCAATCCTGAGGACCTTTGGAGTACAGAATGGCCCTGAGATGGATAATTTCTGAGGCTTTTGTTTTTCTGCTGCTATATGCTTTGTTATCGAAGGCTTTTAAGGTCTCACCACCTCTGGAGTTTTGACCCACTGATGTGTTTCATAAATTTTAATGAAAGACAGATTGAGAGAAATCACTGATGGGCCCACATGGTTGTACCAGATCCGTGCACTGGCTCAGAATGCAAATCTCTATGAAATTACTCTTCAGTTACCTTTGTGGAAAGCCCCAGACTCCATCTTCTGGCTCGTCTGATCTAGCTAGGTCAGATCAAAAGTGATTTGCAAAAACTTTCATGTTCTTGGCACATTGCTATGACTTATTTTTAAGTCACAGAAAATTGTCCAAATATTAACACACATATTACAGAATCACCAGTAAACTAGGTATGGTTAAATAGAGCATGGTGTGCTTTTTAAAGACTTTGTAAAGAATATGGTTTAACTTGCCAGTGTGTGATAATAAACTTATTTCTTGTGCGTGATCATGAGCTTTATTTATAATTCACTAGCAGATGTTTATTTTCATTTAGTTACAACTCAGACATTCTTGGCTTAATTCAAATGTTCTCTGTACCTCACAAAATTAAAAAAAAATTAGATTGAGACTTTTGTTCAAAACATCCTTTAAATGGGGCCAGATGATTATAGGAACAGATTTTATTTCTGCTAATAAGGATCAGGGAGAGAAAAGGAAATTGAGATCTTTGAAGTGTCCCTCAACATCATTTAGTCCCATCTCTTTCAGCCTCCCCGCTGTTGTCAGACCCAGTAGCTTACAGGGCAGCAGAGCTGACTGTGGGGACTCTGGCTCCCTTCGTTCTATAGCCCACTTGCTGAACTAATGAGTAGTGTAATGGCCAAGAGAGAGGGAGACATATTAGAGAAACCAAAGGGCCTAGATTATTTGAAACTAAACAAGTAACATCAGAATAATGAGGGATTGACTGCCTTTCCCATGCTGGGTTCCAGTCCTTTGATCAGAGGGTGTCTTTTCCTTACTGTTTTATACTGTCTTAATCAAAACAGCCTATATAAATAATTGGATTTGAGGTAGGTAGGATGAAAATGAAAAAGTGATTAGAAATATCATGTACTCCTTTAAAAAAAAAAAAGTGAAGCCTTCAGATGGATTTGAATAACCTAAACATGTTAACTGCAATTGGTATTCCTAGTTAAATGTTAAGGGCAATTGGTATTCTTAGTTAAAAAGTGGAAAGGGTATTTTGTTTTGTTCTTGGTAACTCTCTTTTTTAAAAAAAATATTTATTTGAGAGGTGGGGAGGGGCAGAGGGAGAGGGGAAGAGACCATCTTAAGCAGACTCCACCCTGAGTGCAGCACCCGATGTGTTTTTGGTAATTCTTAACAGTATGTGTTTTTCTTTTCAGCTACTAAGTCAGGATTGTTACCTCCACCACCTGCGCTCCCTCCAAGACCTTGTCCATCACAGGTAGGAAACAGAAGTTGATTTCTGTGAACTGTTGGGTATAGCAAAGTTGTCCTACCACTGTGCTTTCTTTGTAAGGGTTGGTAGCCACAGAACTGGCCGGTCACATTCTCAAGATGACGTCTGGACAGAGAGTATAGAGAGTAGCTGCATTTCTTCTTATCTGTCCAGTCCCCCAACCTCATGTGGAAAAGGGAAAGTTTCCTCAATAAGCAACCAAACCAATGCATACTGGTTCTCCTTTGGCCATCAAGGGTTGCATGTTGTTTTCAGATAGAGAAAGAAGAAGAATGGGTGACTCTTCAGTTGGGGGGTGGGGGACATGGTTTTTCTATATAGTATGTACAGTTTGGGTGTGTATATTGTCATCAGTATTTTAGGAGCTGTGTTAATTCTTCATAATTAATGGTTGTCACCATGGTATTCGTGCTGTAGTTTGGGCCTGCAGTGCATTCTTTATCTTTAGGTTGGTATTTTCTTTGGAACATTAAGCTGAAACAGCAGGACTTGGGAGAATGTGTCACCAAAATCTGTTTCACTTGTGAATTAATTCTGCCTCATTTATATGTGCTACTATGGTCTTATTCATCAACACTCCTTGTAGAGCTGGAAATGAGAAGCAAGCTGCAAATCTGCGGTGTGGTAAAGGGCACTACAGATCCTTCCTTTCATTAATTGCTGCTGAAGAGACTTTCTGTCTTTAAAGCCCCTCTAACTTGCAGCAGAAAATGTTGGGAAATTCTCTGTTAACAGTCCTAGTTTCTACCTTATTGGTCTAGATGCTTCAGAACATACTTTTCCAGATGGCACATCTTAGGACTTGCTAAGTCACTGAAACCATTTCGGGCATTTGCTTGTCCTTCTTTTAGAGAATTAGATCATCTTTAGCGTTCACTCAACCTTGAGGTCCAGATACAGTGTACTGCTTTCCTTCCTCTGTTTGAAGGGCAAGGAAAAGCCCCGTTCTTCCTGAATCACATATAAGCGAGTGAGAGCCCCTTTTCTAATACTCCAGGATTGGCTTTAAAAGTTGTGGATTAATCAGTCAACAAGTATTTATTGAGTCCCTGCTGTTTATCTAATGGCAAGCTTTAGTTCCATCCTAAGCATTTCCCTGCTTATAATTTCTGCTCATTTACATTATTAGCTCTGTTTCTTGAGCATCTGCAGTAGACCAGGTGTTGTGCTAAGTGCTTTCAGTGCATTATTTAATCTTCACAAAAATCCTATGAAGTAGGTGTTAATATCCTTTATTTTCTTACAGGTGAGGAAATTGAAGCATACAGGGGTTAAACAAGTCAGCCAAGGTGACATAGCTAGTAAATAGGTAGAGCCAGCTTCCAGATGAGGTCCATCTCCTAAAGGTCGCTGCCCTCCCCATCTCCAGAGCTGAAGTGTCTGTGTATACAGTGAGACAGTGATCTGCTGCTCTGGCCGGTGAGGCTTTCACCACGTGCCGCCTGTGGAGGACCTAGATGAGACCAAACTCCTGATTGGCACCAACAGCAGACCTGGGCTTTGTCACAACAAAATTGTGGGCATTCTGGAGGCAGTTACCTACTAGCTACTGGTTTTAAACTAGGGCTTGGGAGCCACCTGGATGAATGCATGAAGACCCGTCTGAAAGGGCTTTCGTGATCAACCTCCTTATCTTCTCCTGTACAAGTAACAGGAGTGACTTCCTGCTTGTGAAATGCCTTGCTGCTATCAGCAGTCCTCATCCGACGACCTGCTTGAGGTGGCCTTCCTGCCTGCTTGGGGTCTTAGTGACCAAGGATGTGATGGGGAGCTGGGAATTCTCAAGTCACTGTTAATGAATGAGGTTGCTTCTTCGTCTGCCAGATTTCTCATCACAGTGTAACAGTGAGCGGAGTGCTCAGCCCAAGCCTCCGCCTCAGCTGCCTAACTTTGGAGATTTCAGGCTACAGAAACAGGTGTGTAACAAATGCAGGCAGAAAACCCCTTCGTCACTTCCCTTCCCTTACTTACTCTCTTTTCCTCCACTGTAAGTGGGACACACACATTCAACAGAGGAAATCCTGGAGCTGAATAGGGGACTGTATTTAGTCGTTGTGCCCTGCCCCATTCCTGATGGCCCTGGGAGAGGCGTACCTAACCATGTGGGTGGGGCATCTGTGTGTTCTAGTCTTTCTCAAACCGCTTGTGATAAAGCCATCTTCTGGGAGGGATGAACAGGGTTCTGTGATAAGACAAAATCGCAGGCTGCCACCTCAGCACCCGCTTGTAGAGAGTCACAGTGCATATGGGCTCATTAAAGGATTTGAAGTCCTACAGTAAAGAAACCTGGTCAATTTTGGTAAAGCTTGCCATTTCTTTCTTTCTTTATACAAGACTTCACAATCCCCTGAGGGCTTGGTGGTTAGGGAACGTTATTCTCCACCAGCTTTAAAATACTGGTAAGAACATTTCCAAACTGCTTTCATCTGTTACCTCCTCTTTATTTATGTGATTAAAGTTAAATTTTTGTATCTTAGGCCAGTAGTTTTCCCTAAAAGAGTTGAAACTGAAAAAGGAAGTTTACCATATGTTAGCTTCGGATTTCTAGTTGTCATGTTTTCTTTTTTTTTTTTTAATTTGCTTTTCTTTTCCTTCTGGCTTACTCTCTCATGAGGTCATTTTTACCACTTCACACAGCAAGCTTTATTACGGCATACTTAAGCACTTTGAGTTCTTCTTTTGCTCTGTTAAACATTTTCTTGAGTGTTCCTTGTTATATATGGGCAATCGATCTGACTTTGGAAAAAAATATATACATCCAAATGAGGCTTAAACTATAGTACCTAGGGGAGAAACAAGGAAGGTTGGTATAATATAAATCTTAAATTTGTCAGTAGCTGTGAGAAGAGATTAAGATAAAAAGGCTTTGGATTTAAATTTTCCTTTTTTAAAAAAACATTTTATTTATTTATTTATTTATTTGAGAGAGAGAGAGAGAGAGAGAGCTCGCTCAAGCATGGAGGGAAAGGCAAACTCTCCACTGAGCAGGGAGCCTGATGTGGGTCTCAGTCCCAGAATCCTGGGAATCAGGACCTGAGCCAAAGGCAGACATTTAACTGACTGAGCCACCCAGGTACCCCTGGATTTAAAATTTTCATATTATTTAATTTGATAAATGGATAAATGTTTAAGACTAGATTATAATAAACAAGAAGACATTCTGTTCCCTAAAAAGGAACAACTATTTAAAAAACTATGTGGCTAGTCAGTGATGTCCTTCGAGGTTTTAAGTATGTAAGAGAAAAGCACTTGTACATTTGCGGATGTGTCCACAAAGGTATACAGAGCTCATTTCTACATATGCTAGAAGTATATCTCTACTTTTATCAAGTGAGAGAGATGAAGTATAGGTGTTCAGCATAAAATGCAGTTTATCTGGCCCTTAATACTAAGTACTAGTATGATATGGACATCTGGAGTAAATTATACAAATGGGGCCCTGGAGTTAGGAAAAGGAATAAATTCAAAGAAGCAGATCTTTTTATTTTTCATACTATAGAGAAAATCAAAAGGGACCAAGTGAATATATAAAGAATCAAACGGTTTGTGTTCCATGTTTTCCTGGGACAGGCTAGGGACCAGGGCGTGGTATTTTGGCTCAGCTCCGAAGAAGTGACACATTTATTTATTAATTTTTTTAAAAAAGACCGATTTATAACACAGATGGCTAACAAGCAGTTAGAGTTAACTGTTTTATATGGAGCCGTGTTAACATGAGAGTTAAACTAGTAGCTCACTGTGGGTATGCGTATAAACTGAGGAAAATGCCATCTGCAGAGCTGGTGCTTGTCCTGTATGTCAGTTCTCTAAGGGCCTGTTTGGTTCTCCAATAATTAAATCTCTTTAATAGTATTGATCTCATGCCAAATTTCTTATGGCAATAATCTTTATTTAAAAAAGTTTTTTGGTACAAAGGATAATTTTTTCAGTTATACATTAGCACCACATTTGATGATTGGGGCTCCCTGTAGACTAATGTGCTCAGGATTTTCCTGTTTATTCCACTAATTGCTTACCTTGGAACAGCAAGTGCTTCTCACTGGCAGTGCAGTGTGTACTAAAATAGCACTGTAGGATGAAAGTGCTGTGGAAGAAGCATTTGATCAGTACTTTTAAGCTTAGACCAAGAGGGCTTCATGGAAGGGCTAAGGTGACCAGTGAAATGAGTTTTAAACAAGAGAATTTTTCTTTTCAGATGGCTGAGGGGTTCAGAGTATTACCGTAGAGAAAAAGCAAATGCAAGGAGCAGGCATGCAAGAGATCCCCATGTGTTCAAGGAACTGTCTGAAATTTAGAAAGATAGATTTTAGGGGAGAGAGATTTAGTGTTTGGATGTGGCAGTGAAGAGCCAGTGGCCTGCCCGCTTGAGGCCCATTGAGGCCCAGTGGTGCCAGAGCCTTGGGAGAGGAAGGGTCCCTTGATAGGAGAGTTCTGTCCGGGGAGCAGCCCCTGGCAGGAGAGCACAGAGCGTCAGTTAGCCCATTGGTACTCACGTTGTGCCCGCAGGAATCATCTGGGGGAGAGCTTTAAACCTACTGAGGTCTGGGTCCCACCCCCAGAGATTCTGGTGTGGTGGGAGGTCCAGACATTGGGAGTTTTAAGAAGCTCCCCACATGATTCTGAAGTGTATCTGGGATTGAGTAACACTGAATTAAGGCAAGAGGAGGAATGTTCAGAGATGAAGTTGAGAACCTATGGGATTTTCTGGCATTATGGGATTATGGGATTAATGGTATGCCCTGAGTTCTTTTTTTTTTTTTAAGATTTTATTTATTTGAGAGGGAGAGAGGAGAGACAGAACACAAGCAAGGGGAGGGGCAGAGGAAGAGAGAGAAGCAGGCTCCCCACTGAGCAGGGAGTCCAATGCAGGGCTTGATCCCAGGACCCTGGGATCATGACCTCAGCCGAAGGCAGGCACTTAACGACTGAGCCACCCAGGTGCCCCATGCCCTTGAGTTCTTTAAGTGCTCAGTAGAAGTCTTTGT